GCGCCTGTGGTCCCAGCTACTTGGGAGGCTGAGGCAAGAGAATCGCTTAAGCCCAGAAGTTGGAGGTTGCTGTGAGCTGTGATGCCATCAGCCCTCTACCTAAGGGGACAGCTTAAGGCTCTGTCTCAAAAGAAACAAAAAAAAACAAAAACAAGAAAGTGCTCCAGGTGAGATTTGAACTCACAGCCTTGGCAACAATATTGTTATGATATAAATGCCATGCGCTAATCAATTGCGCCACAGGAGCAGTAGATGTAGCTTTTCTCAGAAGGATACTTCAGTTGTTCATAGACACATGACCTCACCAGATAGCTCCACCTTCTGTTGCATATGCAAATAAAAGTTAAAATGAAAAAATAGCAGGTGGGGGTCGTGCCTGTGGCTCAAGGAGCAGGGCCCCGGCCCCATATGCCGGAGGTGGTGGGTTCAAACCTGCCCTGGCCAAAAACTGCAAAAAAAAAAAAAAAATAGCAGGTCATTGTGGTGGGTGCCTGTAGTCCCTGCTACTTGGGAGGCTGAAGCAAGAGAATTGCGTAAGCCCAAGAATTTGAGGTTGCTGTGAGCTGTGATGCCACCCACAGCAGTCTACTGAGGGTGCCATACTAAGATTCTGTCTCAAATGAAGAACAAAGAAGAAAGTGTTCCAGGTGAGACTTGAACTCACAACCTTGGTAACAATATGTTATGCTATTAATACCATGTGCTAACCAATTACACCACAGGAACACTTGGCTGTGCACTTCCTCAGTAGAGTACTTCAGTTGTTCATAGCCATGTGACCTCACCAGAAAGTTCCGCCTTCTGTTGCATATGCAAATAAAAATTAAAATAAAAAATAGCTGAGCGTTGTGGCGGGTGCCTGTCGTCCCAGCTACTTGGGAGGCTGAGGCAAGAGAGTTGCTTAAACCCAAGAGTTGGAGGTTTCTGTGAGCTGTGACACTACAGCACTCTACCAAGGGTCTCAAAAATAAAATAAATAAAAATAATTTTCTTTTTTTGAATTCCCATATCATTTAATTCCATTTATGGTACTTATTACTTTCCTTATTTTACTAGAGTTATTTGTGTACATGGCTTATCCTTTCTTCTAGTCTGTATTTTTTTTTTTTT